ATATTAATATTCCATATCGTGCTCCCTTCAATAGACTGCATGCTAGAAATAGTCTTTGTCCTAGTGGAATTGTAAATTGCACATCCAGCAATAAAGTAGAATGTAGCCTTGTCACTTATGCTCTCTTTGGGATAACCCAACACAAATGTCCTCTTCTTAAAGGAATATAATTATCTCCTGACTCTAGGAGAGTTTTAGGTCACCCTGCAGTTGGAGTGACTGTCCTAGAAACCCCTCTTCTGCCCCCCTCCTTTTTTTTCTAATGGTTTGCTGATGCAGTAAAAGTGGGCCAGCATTAGCAGTGCTGATTTACTGCACCTTCCTCCTCTGCAAGGCTTTGCCCTGCTTTCCTCTCTGCTGATATATGGCAGTGAAAAGCTCAGTGCTGACAGATGGGGACTATGAGAGGTTGCAGTTTAAGCTGATGAATCCTGTTTCTCCTTTTCCTAATGGGAGTAATTTACAGTCACTCTCGATAATCCTGTGATGCCAGCTTTGGGACTATCACCTTGTTGCCTGCTAGCCTTTCCCTTCTGTCCCTACCTCCTGCCTGTTCTGTTCCATGAAATGGGACATAAACCCTGCATCTCACATTCTTAGTGCACAACATAGGAATGTCTCTAGGGCTCACCCTGACTGTTTGGCCTTTGCTTAATTTCCCTGTTGCTAGCTTTCAAACTAGTGGGAAGGAGGTGACATCCGAATCAGATAGGGGGCCTGTGAATCCTCCCACATGCTCCACAGGCCCTTGCCTTTTGTCCACCCCCTTTCAGAATTCTGCTAGTAAGAACTGGTGTCCCATGCAGTAGAAAAGACTCTTGCTGAGCAAGTGCCACGTTCCTGCTGGAGGCTCTGTGGTGTGTCCACAAGAGGAGACTGTAAGTAGACATTGAACCTAGTTTCCCCACATGGCAGTGCAGAGCACGAAGGTAGCTTTCCCTTAGCTGTTTAGAGACCCTCAACATGAAAACCCCATTTGTTTGAAAGACTAGTGCCTATCATAGTCTCAGGTAACAGCTAGAATCACTATAACTGAGGGAGAAAAATGTTGCTAACTCCTTTATTTCTTTAGTTTGTTTTGTGCATTTGACTGTCCTTTGGATATAGTCTGTCTCATGGTTTATCATGGATAATCAGTTTTCCCCTGCTGAAGAGACCACTAAATTGAAATCGGAGGTGAAAACCTCTTTACTATTTTACAGGATTGTTTTTAAACTCTCAGAGCTTATTGTTTAAAATGGGGATCTACCAGAAACTTCTGGAATTTTTCATATTACTCAATTTTAAAAAAAAAAGCCAGTTGCCAGTATTCTTCTATTAGAGTGTAAGCCTCTTTCAGGTTAACTCTGTGGTCCCCAAACTTTTACCTAGTGCCCTCCTTTGCCCCTGTTTGCACCCCACCCCCAGAGCCAGGAGTGGGGCCTTGACTGGAGGGGCACAAACAGAAGTAAGGAGTAGAGGTTGTGGCCACAGCTGGGGGCAGGCATGGGGCCAGCAGTGGAAGGTTGGGTCAGCAGCCAGGACCCCAGGCGAGGAGCCAGGAGCGGAGCCCTGGGTGCAGCTTCAGCTGCCAGGGCAAGAGCCAGGAGTGAAACTGGGTTGTGCTCCCCTCCATGGGGGCTATCTAGGGACCCAGCCCCCGCCCCCTGAACGTTCCTTTGCTTGCACCTCCCTTGGGGGGGGCCACCCCACAGTTTGGGGACCTCTGGGTTAATCTTTACCTCTTCTAGGGATAGTATCCAGTGTCAACTGATATACTAAACTAATTCTACACAATAATAGCTATGCTCCCTTCCTGTTTGGAGGTGGCAGCATGTTCTGGTCATTCAAGAATATGGGACTGTGAGTCAGGAGCTCCTGAGATCTAATCCTGGGTCTGCCACTGAACTCACCGAGGGGCCTTGAGCAAGCCATTTGTTCGTTTTTCTCCCATTTTTTAGATAGGCAATCTTGGTAGAGCTGTCTGGCTAGTAGGATTAATGCTTGTAAAGGTTTTAAAGAGAACTACTATGTAAGTGCAAGAAACCAGGTGAATGGGTGTCTCTCTCTCTCTGGATGGGAGTGTTTGGTTGTGATTCTGTCCTTGCAGTGACGATTAGCTGGTTGGTTTCTTCACTTGAAGGAGATAATGGTTGGGTGTTGCAGTGACTTCCTATTTTGTAGTTCAAAGACCTCCTCTTTTCTGACCCTACTTTTTAAGAACATAAGAATGGCCATACTGGGTCAGACCAAAGGTCCATCCAGCCCAGTATCCTCTATTGACAGTGGCCAATGCCAGATGCCCAAGAGGGAGTGAACCTAACAGGTAATGATCAAGTGATCTCTCTCCTGCCATCCATCTCCACCCTCTGACAAACAGGGGCTAGGGACACCATTCCTTATCCATCCTGGCTAATAGCCATTAATGGACTTAACCTCCATGAATGTATCTAATTCTCTTTTAAACCCTGTTATATTCCTAGCCTTCACAACCTCCTCAGGCAAGAGTTCAACTTCCTTTTATTTGTTTTAAATCTGCTGCCCATTAATTTCATTTGGTGGCCCCTAGTTCTTATATTATGGGAACAAGTAAATAACTTTTCCTTATTCACTTTCTCCACACCACTCATGTTTTTATATACCTCTATCATATTGCCCCTTAGTCTCTTCTTTTCCAAGCTGAAAAGTCCTAGCCTCTTTAATCTCTCCTCCTGTTCCAACCCCCTAATCATTTTAGTTGCCCTTTTCTGAACTTTTTCTAATGTAGTATATCTTTTTTGAGATGAGGAGACCACATCTGTACACAGTATTCAAGATGTGGGTGTACCATGGATTTATATAAGGGAAATAAGATATTCTCTGTCTTATTCTCTATCCCTTTTTTAATGATTCCTAACATCCTGTTTGCTTTTTTGACTGCCACTGCACACTGCGTGGATGTCTTCAGAGAACTATCCACGATAATTCCAAGATCTCTTTCCTGATTAGTTATAGCTAAATTAGCTCCCCATCCTATTGTATGTATAGTTAAGGTTATTGTTTCCAATGTGCATTACTTTACATTTATTCACATTCCATTTATTTGGCAAATGAAATTTCATCTCTTTGTTTCTTTACCTTCCAAACAGAATTTCACTTTAGAAATGCAGCCCATTTAAATACCATAAAATGCTGTTTGAGTGATACAATGCAAAATAACTGTCATGCTGAGATCATGAGCTGTTCATTCTGGCTGAGAAGTATTTTCACAATAAACGACGTGATGCAATTATTTGCCAGCAAAGGGCAGATTCAGCCTCTACTTATCAGTCATTTTGGAGGTCTTATTTATTCCATTTGTTGGACTGACTTGAATAATCACATTTATCTAGCTTCCCAAACTAATTTTCAGCTGCACATGTGCTGTAATGAACACAGATTTTCTACCCTTACTTCTGTAAGGATGACTGTCCAGTGCTCATTTGAGCAAAGTGGAAAGTGGCAAAGGAAGCTTTGGCATTGAGTGAGCCCTGGAGTAATCTCCAGTGTCTGGAGTCTGTTGCTGGAGCACTTGGCTTGGACTTTGACTGGATTAACAGTTCACTGCAATCACATAGCAGGCCACGTGTGACATAATTTGCAGGCTAGAAAGGGAATGGCTCTTAAAGGTGGTGGTCACTGCAGCACACCAACCCATCTGCTAAGTGAAGGTTCAGCTCAGGCAGTCCATTGATCCATTCTAATCTCTCAAGGTATTCTAGAGCAACAGGCTGCAGTGGCAAAACTGGCAAAGTGATGGCAACAGAATTATTTATAAACAAATACATGCCAGCATGGTGTGTTCCGGTGGAAAGGCCCCATTCTGGGTACATAGTTCCGACGCTTATCCACGACCTCCTGTGGAATGTAGGCTTATGGGTAGGATGGATTGGAGAACCCCAAGATAAAGGAGAGATTCCAGTATCTGCAAGCCCTTCTGTACTGCAGGTACCACCTCATGTGAGAGTGAGAAGTCTCTAAATCAGGGGTCGGCAACCTTTCAGAAGGGGTGTGCAGAGTCTTCATTTATTCACTCTAATTTAAGGTTTCGCATGCCAGTAATACATTTTTAACGTTTTTAGAAGGTCTCTTTCTATAAGTCTATAATATATAACTAAACTATTGTTGTATGTAAAGTAAATAAGGTTTTTTAAATGTTTTAAGAAGCTTCATTTAAAATTAATTTAAAATGCAGAGCCCCCCAGACCGGTGGCCAGTGTGAGTGCCACTGAAAATCAGCTTGCGTGCCGCCTTTGGCACGTGTGCCATAGGCTGCCTACCCCTGCTCTAAATCATGTCTGTTTAATGGGGTGGTTAGACTTCTCTCCACTTCTTTTTCTAAGCCCATCCCTATTATGGTGTAAAAAGTCCGCACTTAGGTGGCAGGAGCCTGAACAGCAGCCAGGTTCCTATATCTCGGTCTCAGGTCAAATCCAAGATCTTGCTTCAAGCCTTGGGAAATTTGCTTTTGAGCTACCTTGGCATGACTTTGAACTCCTGCAAATTAGAGTTCAAAGAAGACTAAATCCATTCAGAATCCTCAATTATAGATGCTCCACCAGGTGGGAGACTATTCTGAGAACTTGTAAATCTGTCCCTAAATATGAAAGCCCCTGCAGGACAACTGGAATTGATTTGTGTGTGATTCTGCTGCAGTTGAGATCAGTGGAGGAACTTCAGCCTTAGAAGTCTCTTCCCTTAATAGGGAAAGGGCCTAGTCAGAAGATGATTGTTGTGACTGTAAGTAGTCCTCAACACTTTGTGTCCCATCCATCCACCCTACCCCCAGTCTTTACAGCCTGAACTTTTTAACCGGGGCAGATGTGGGAGTTTATTATTTTATGTGATTTACATTTTGTAAGTTGGACTTGGCTTGGAAGGGCAGGTGCCCACTTCTTTGGGCATTTTATAATTTAAATATCTGTTCAAGCTCTCTGAGCTTGAAATAATCACTTTTGAAAGGAACGGTTTGTAAATGCAGAACTTCTGTTTGTGTTTTGTAGCTATTCCTGAGATCACTGTCCACAAGCGAAGTGAGAACAAAAATGAAGGGCAGGAGGCAGTCATGTATTGCAAGTCTGTGGGCTTCCCCCACCCCGACTGGGTGTGGCGCAAGAAGATCAATGGTGTATTTGCGGTGAGTGAGAGCCATAATGTCAGTATGCAGGCCTGAATTAACCTGCTGAAACTTCTGATAGGAGAGAGAACTGGAATCCTTATTTGTTCCCAGTGTTGGGGACTCTAATGCCTTGTAACTTCTTTGAAAACCTGACTGGGGGGGGAAGAGGGAGGGGTGTCTGTTTGAATCTGTACTGAACTGGAGCTAAAATGATTTGCTTAATAATGAAATAAGTAATTCTGCTTACCTTTAAAGTTAGTAGCTGAAATATTGATAGCTTTCTAAAATGGTCTCCTTTGTGTATATCACTGATCCCCAACCTTTCTGTTGCAATAGCATATTCATGTTCCCAGAAGAGTGTGGCGGGCGCTGGACGACCAGCTGCCAAAATGCTGCCGAGAAGCGGCGTCATCGAGAAGTGCCGGTGCTGAAATGCTGCTGAGAAGCAGCGGCATTTCGGCGGCAACACTTCTTGGCGGCATTTCGGCAGCTGGTTGTCTGGCAGCCGCGCTCCTCGGCGGCAGGTTGTCCGGCGGAAGCACTCCCTTGTCAGTAGGCGGGCGCACATAAATGCCCCGGTGGGTGTCATGGCGCCAGCGGACACCGCGTTGGGGACCACTGGTCTATATCCTCCATTCCTATGCAAGCAAAGCTGCTTGTTACACTGCTCCTGGGTGTGACCACTAAGTGAACTGCCAAGAACATGGAAGCATGGTGTAATTTGCAGTGGGCAACTTGAACAGGACACATTCTGAAAGTCCCTTCCAATCTGTGTTTAATGGGCAAGAATACCAATTCCAAAAAAAAAAAAAAAAAAAACAAAACTTGACAAAGCCCTGGCTGGGATGATTTAGCTGGGAATTGGTCCTGCTTTGAGCAGGGGGTTGGACTAGATGACCTCTTGAGGTCCCTTCCAACTCTGATATTCTATGATTCTATGATTCTATGATCAGCATTTTATCATTTGCTTTCATTTTAAGCAGGTTCTCCAGATACCCTGGAAATCCAATTTTCCAATTATACCATGTAAAGAAATGACCCTTGGCATTCACATGTGTGACAGAAGCTACAGCTAAGCTTATTCACATCTATATTAGAATGCAAGATTAATGTTGATATCACTGGCTTCTTTAATTTTATGCACATTCTGTGCTATTTTATTGCAGTGGTGGTGATAAAAGCAATAACACAAGCCATTCCATGGTGGGTAAAGCATCTCAGCCAAAACAGTGCAAAATGGCTCCGTTCTCCCATGATATCTACTAATATAGATTGATTTTCTTATTATGAAGCTGATTCATTAAGTTCACTGTGAGGGTGGCAGTAAGAGCTTTGGCAATCATATTTTCCATGTGGATACTTGTCTCTTGGGCAAAAGATTTAACAAGTGGTTGAAATTGTAGATTGTCCTGGCTTTTACACATTGCGTGTGAGTCAGAAACATGCTTATAAGTAGAGAAAATATCACGATATACCTATCATGGAATACATTTGTTCTTTTAAGTGAAAATTTCCCAACTCTCTCTTTGATGGGGAAAGCCACATTAATTATTTCTTAGGAAAACCAAAAATGGATATATCAAGTCCAAGCTGGACCTGGTGCAAGCAAATCTGATGCACCTCAATCCTAACCTACAGAGTTTCTTGTATTTCCAGTCCTGGGTCCCTTTCCCCCACAACTCTACCCTGACACCTTTGACCCTAACCTGCAGTTCTTCCAGTGTTTGCAGATTCCGCAGCTGACTTTGCAATGGGGACAGAGTCCCCCTATGGGCTAGATTGAGACAATACTCACTTTGCTTGTGACCTAAGGGCTAGTCTAAAGCGGCAGCGCTTTAACGTGCCTAGTGTGGTCGCAGCGCTGGGAGAGAGCTCTCCCAGTGCTCTAAAAAAACCACCTCCACGCTTTACAGCTTTACAGCATTGAAACTTGCTGTGCTCAGGGGTGTGTTTTTTCACACCCCTGAGCGAGAAAGTTGCAGCACTGTAAATTGCCAGTGTAGACAAGCCCTCAGTCGCACATAAACTCAACTCTCTGAAGTAAAAGGCCCATTTCCAAGATGTTGTAATTTTAAGAAACAGCCTTGAATGCGAAAGAGTGAGATCTTTCATCCCTGAAACTGAGAGTGGGCTTATGTATACTACCCTTATTTGGAAATTACTTCGAGAATCTGTGTGCTGTGCATTGACTTCAGTTGAATCTGAACTAAAGTAATAGGGTCCATAAATTTGTAAAGTTAGATGGAAGAATGATACCCAGCAATTGCATCATGGAATAAAAACTCCTTTACATAGTCCAGTCTTATGAGTCCAGCCATCCAGCTGGGATACTCTCAGAAGTGACTTGATAAAAATGGCATGGAAAAAATTTGCAGCCTCACATGACTTTCAGATCAAAATGTGTTTTACCTGCTAGCCCTGCAAATATACCTTCAGAAATTACTACTGATGATGTGAAGTTTAGCTCCATCTGTGCAAGCTTATTGCTTAGAGTTGACGATTGGGACTTGACAATTCCACTGATACACAAGCCAGAAAAGCATTCTGTTTACATGATCATGGCTGTGTTGGTGTTGCATGTCTGACAGTAGAAAAAAGGAGTGAAAAAAAGGTAAATTTTGTCATTGCAATGAGCAAGTCTGCTGATTTAAGGTGCCATTTTTATATTCCTTTCAGAGCAGAACTGTATTTTAAGAGACTGGAGACTGACTTTAGCTTTGTAAATATTTTGGAGCTTTTTAGACTGAACACTTAAACATTAGACTGTTGAATAGTCTGAAGTAACCAGCCTCTTCGCTTTTACAAGAATCTCTTTAAATTTTCCCACCGTGCACAGTAACTGAAGGGAAACTGTATGTCTACACTGCAACGGTGTGTGTGTGTGTGTGTGTGTGTGTGAGTGTGTGAGGAGGGGGAAAAACACCTGCGACAGTGAGTCTCACTGACTGAGGCTCGCATTATAAGGGCTAAAATAGCAGGGTGGATGTTCCCTCTGGAGCCTGGGCTCTGAGACCCCTCCACCTCACCAGATTTCAGGGTCTGGGTTGCAGTCCGAGCAAGAATGTCTACACTGCTATTTTTAACCCTGTAGCACGAGAATGAGTCAGTTGACCTGGGCTCTGAGACTTGCTGCCACAGGTTTTTCTTTGCAGTGTAGACATACCCTAACAGCTTATCACCTGGGCTTACTCAAAGTTCCCATCCCCCTCTGTTCCCTTTCTGCTTTTTACAGGAAATCAACAACTCCTCTGGCCGATTCTTCATTACAAATAAAGACAATTACACGGAGCTGAGTATCACAAACCTCCAGATAAGTGAGGATCCCGGCGAGTATGAGTGCAATGCAACCAATCCAATTGGCTCTGCCTCTGCCACCACCATTCTGCGAGTGCGCAGCCACTTGGCCCCTCTCTGGCCCTTCTTGGGGATATTGGCAGAGATTATCATCCTTATTGTTATCATAGTGGTTTATGAGAAGAGGAAGCGGCCAGATGAAGTCCCAGACGGTAAGAGTGTTCTCAGAGCCACTTGTAAAACTTATGGAACCAGGTCATTGAGAGAAAATAAGCACCACAGTCCAAGAAGAGTTCTCAGAAGTTCAGCAGCTGTTCTCTCTCCAACTATTAGGCCCTTCACAGTAGCTCTGCAGAATCTGTACATTAATTCCTAGCTTTGCTTGTCCCTGATTCCTCATGCTATAGTTGGACAGTTATTACTGGATCTTTGAAACATTCATTGTAAAACTGGTAGTGGTTCCATCTCTCTTCCCTGCTATAGCTCTTAGATCTGACACTTAGTCATGCAGCATAGGAGAATAAACTGACGACACCCCCCCCCCCCCCCGGTCCCTCTTAATGTGTCCTCCTAAATCTGGCAAGCTGTGTTGGATTGAGCAACATTCAGGGATAGGTTTTCATGTCACATTAAAGGGATCTTAATTAAAGGGATCTTAATTTTGACTTCAAATGATCAGAGGGAGACAATGATTTCATTGTTCTTATAGTCATTCATCAGTTATTTGATATTTAAATAAGACTCTGGTCTCGTAATACGCGTTTTGCATCCTGGTCTCTGCTGAAAGCATCAGTAATGTTTTTAACTGTGTGTTTTATGTAATTGAGGTTACATAATGTAATTAAGGAATGTTGTGGAGATTTTAGTCTAGCTGTATCCATTGGGTTAAATTCCAAGTTGAAAGGAGCTAGGTTATCTGCCTTCCATGCTGGTGGAAGGATTCATTAGTTAATGTGTGTACAGTGTTTAGAAAAAGTAGAGTTTTAATTTTATCCTTATTTGAGCTCTTTGCACTATATCTTCTTCTCTTTAAGGAAGAGGGACAGTTTTGGAGGAGAAACTGGTTTATGAAAGAGACAGACTGGTGAACAGACTTTAATGTAACAACTAGTTGCTTACAATGTTGTCTGTCAAAAGCCTACCTAAGGAGTCCTAGTGAGGAACTTATTGCTCACTATAAGGATGTGATGTTTTCAAGTAATGGATCAGGTGAAGCGCGTGCAGCAGGGAGTGACCATATCCATATCATAATTCACTATCATTTTATAATACTGGAGAATCCTTCTCGTGTATCAGACAGGTACCACGGTGCTCCAGTGTGTACCATAGCTTATGCAACAATAACTACTGTAGCTGAGGCAGTACGACAGATTGATTATTCAGTGGTCTTCAAACATTCACCTATTGGGATGAAAATTTCTGAACCCAACGGTGAACTTCTTTGCAAAGTTTGAGCGAAAATAGCTCTACCATTTCTGAGTAATACCTTGGAGAACAGAAAGTCTTCATTAAAAAGAATTTTTTTAATAAACAGCCTCATATCAAAACAGCAGAGGCTTGTAAGTTTCAATCTGACATGGAGCAATGCATACCCTGGGTTCTGAGAAAATCTGCTTTGGTTCAGCCAAGTTATGTGAATGTAAAAAATGCCTACAAAGCATGCACAGAGACTTTGTCCCTAGGTGCATTTCTAACAAGCTTAGCAAAGTGGTGCACAGTGATGCATACTCACTGCAGTGACGGGTGGCAGTATAAAACTCTAAACTAGTCCCAAGGTGGCTCTCAACCAGCCCACAAAACTTTACATGTGCCGATAAACTTAATTTTAAAAAAAACTTCTCCTCTTTACTAGTCTTTTTCTTTGTTTACAAACCCCTCTTTGCTTAGCAAAATATGCACTAGGCTGGGAGCCAGAACAGCCTGTGTTATAGTACCACCTTTTCCATTGGTGGCTCTTCAGAATTCATTGCACTTTTCTACCCTTTATCTAGTGAGGGCTGATCAGAGGTTACAGCAGAATCTTAACACTTGCAATTTGTCATGGAAAACAGTCCTTACTAAGGAGCAGTGCATGGACTTATTCCAGAGGAAACTGGTGTTCATTTGGTCAAGTTCCAAGCATTTGTAATGACATTATCTTAAACTCATTAAGTGTGCACCTAAAATGATGTATGCGTCAACAGTTAAGTGTAGTGAATTTAGGCTCCCATGAAGTGTTCTCATTTGGTTTGGCCACTCTTCTCAAATCCCCAAGATCATCTCCTCCAGTAGACATTCTGGTAATGATAAGCCAAAGAGTTTAGATAACTGAATTTGCTTGTTTTGTTTGCTATTCTGAAGGCAACTAAGCTCAAGGCCCCCAAGATGCTTCTCTTCTCCTCCCTCTTCCCACTTCCTTTTCTAGGGGAGGAAATTTAAATGTAAATGTCTCCATGTGTGTGCCATTAAGGTTACCTGGATAAAGGAAATCCATGAGCTTGAAATCCACTCAACCTCAAAAATAGTTAGTTCTGGGTCAGACGTGTGTCCTGGAGTCTCCTGGCTATTCCTGTGCTTTTACAATTGCACCATAAAGTTTTTCTCTGCTGCTACTGTGGAAAAGCCCCTCACAAGCAGGGGAAAGTGACTGTACAGACAGTGCTGTCAAATGCATGATAAAGAAAATGAAAAATCTGGAGAAGTCACTGATGATTGAGCTTTCAGTTATATTAAGCAAAACATTCCAAGGAGAAGCAATTTTTAAACTGACTGCCCCTTTGAACACTAAAGTCATGAAATGCCAAAGTTAAGGGTGAACATTAACTGTGCCTTTGTGTGTGCCATTTGCATTGAACTTTCAATTACATCTAAAACCCATGTAGTACTATTCTCCTCTCTACACATCAGTCTATGGAAGTGTTAAACAGTGAGCTGTATGTAACTTGCTAAAGAAGTAGTTAATATTAACCCTTGTGTACCATATGCCAGAGCATTGTGTAGCATTTCATTAATGCATCTTGTTCTAAATAACATTAATTATATTAAAAGCTGGAAACACAACTGTGATCCATAATCTTCACTGGCTATCAGTTAACTTCCTTGGGTCTGTTTTAAGGTGTTCATTTTGATCTATGAAGTCCTAAATGACTTGGTTCCTGGCTCCCCATATAATACTACTGCAGCTGTAATCAGTGGAGGTGCTTAAGCTATCTTATCAGTCCTTCCTGGCTTACCGAAGAGGAGGAGGAGTCCTCAGTGAGGGCCTTTGACTCTGGGATTTACTCTCACCCCAAGATCTACCAAAAATCTTTCCACAGACTCTACAAGCTACCTCCTTCTTGAGCTTTGGCTATTTTATTCCAGGGTGGAGTGACTGGAGTCACATTCCTAACAGAGATTTTGCTGTGGAGTGACAAGTAGGAGAGGCAGTCAGGAGGTCACTCCATTCAAGTGTTATGGCCACTTGTGTCTTAATTTGAAAACTGTATGCTCATAGGTCATCAAGATCTATCCAGATAATTTAGTCTACTCCAGGCTACCTACTTTAGCTTATCAAGTGGCTGCTAGTAGTAAACAGTCTGAATGACACAGCACACAGCATTTTCATCTATAGCCTAACCTTCTGGTATCCCAGTTCAGAGTCCCCTGAAGGTAGGCTTTGGGGGAGGAGGGGAGATCTGTGTCCAGTCGCCTCTTCTTTTAAAGATCCCCAAGGCTTTTTAGTAACCTGATGGACTGTCTCTGTAAGAAGATCTCAGGAATGTGAATTTCTTTCCATAATACATCTCTGCGACTGAATGCAAATGAGACCTCTCATAATCTTTATCAGGGAGAAAGAAACATCTTTTTTTTTTCTCCGCTAGAATATTTCCAGTTACATAGAAACTCAACAGTGCCAAATTCAAGCAACTTTCTTTTTATAAGGCACAAACCCTGCCAAACAGCTGGAGCAGGATTACTTCAATGTCTTGAATGCTCCTACTACTTCAAAAAGGGTATATCATAAACTCCCTCCCTCTCATTACCCCCAGCCCAGTGTCATCTTTCAGAAATCAGCATCCTCTTCCCAGACCATAGGAGTAAAAGAGTTTACTTGATATTTAGTTCTTCAGAGGCCTGGAAAGTTATGCCACATTCTGTATCTTAAGAGTCTAAACCAGCTTGTGAAACAGCATACATTCAAGATCCCTCAGCTCAACCCTGACTCTGATGGACAAGGAATGGGGGCGGGGAGTATCATTGCTGAAAAGGATGATTTGGTGCTCTTCCCCAGACTGGCTACTTGATGAACAAGGAAGACTCACCCCCTAGCCTATATTGGTGTTGTTGCCAGGATACACACACATGCAGGTGTGTTGCTGGCATAAAAACACACAAAACTCACTACAGTCTTTAACTCTGGCATTTCCTGACCTGAGTTCCTGTCTATTCAGTCTCAGTGCTGTATGAACATAGCGTTTAGCATTTAATTTAATCATGTCTCCCATTCCAAGGAAAAGGGGAAGAGAGTAGTGTAAAGCTCCTTTGTTAATATTTCTTTACTGACACACTCATGTTGTTCACCTTTTTGCTGCTGCTCTGTACCAGAAAGAGGAAAACCAGTCTCTGAATCCAGTGAAAACTGTATTCCCAACTGGAAATGTGAATACAGTGTCTGAGTTCTTACAATTTTTGCTGTAGTGCCTTGTTGATTAGGGGTATCCTTTCGCATCCCACAATAAGAGATTCTTTCAGTGAACACTTCAGGAGGGAGAGACTGTGCTTGATCCCCTTCATAATTTTTAAAGAAAAACCTGACCTTGCTTCCCCCATGACACACCAATGCATTTCTTTTTGCAAATAGCTGTCAGGGTTCCTAGGCTCTCATACAGTAGTTGAAAGTGTGCAGCTTTCAACATCAGGAGCTGCTGAAAAGTCACATATCAAGTCCAGGCCCAGAGAGCTGACCCTTCACTGCATGTATGACCAAAAGTTTTCAGTGAGGCAGTGCTGATTCATTTTGCCCAGTACATATGTTGGTTGGTGGGCATTTTACAATGAAAGGAGGCAAATAGTTCTCTCCTCTCTCCCCATGGTAGTTTAAGCTGCTTAATTTTTTGACAGTCATAGAAATCAGCCATTGTGACCTCTGTAATATTTTAAAGGCTTTTAAATGAAGAAAGTTTTTACTTTTTAAGAGGGTGTGTTCTTGGGTAAGTAGAAAGTAAAAACTCTTTGGTTACATTCCTACCGAAGAATGTAGCAAGTGAACAGTTTTTACTTCCAAATCCATTTTCTACATTCTCTTTAGTTTAAAGCCATGAAATAACTTAGTTATTATAACATGTGCCTTCTCTTTCGTCCCTTTTCATTTGTCAGCTTAATCAGAAGTAAACTATTTCCATAAATATTTCTGCTCCAGCAGTGCAGCAGTTGCATTCCATTACCCCACATTTTTTCTAATACTTATTTTTCTTGCTTTTCTATGCTACTGCTATTACTGTAAGTAGTAATTTAAAGAACAAATATGTTTATTTCACTAAAATGGTTTATCTTGTTACAATTTTTTAAATTTTTCTACTACCCTTCATCTTTCTCCCCCCCACTTAACCTCACCAAGGAGAGCAAACTGTCCGACACAAACTGTAAGAATGCATAGGAGTTTGGCTAAGATCAAGTGTAGTACCTGCACTGAGGATTACTGTAGCATAGTGACAGCCAAATCGCATCACTTCTCAGGTGGCTTTGGCCTTTAGCTCTGTATAAGTTTGTTAGAGGCTATTGTAGGAATAGAATTCATTATATGCCTGATTTGACCACTCTTGGCCATATGTTTTGTTATAAATCTATATTTATGACTACATTCCATTTCAGATTGATTGCTTTTTTGGTACATGAACTCTTCACTAATATGCACGTTTTATGCAGCCCATGAGTCCCTTATCCCATTTTCCTACTGGTCATGCAGCATGATAAAAAAATAGCATTAAAACCATTCCTGTTGCAAACTTGGGACTTAGTGGCTGTAAATGTTGCCTCTAAATCTTTGTGTATAACAAAAGGCCTTGACAGTTAATAAGAAGGGTTTTAACTCACATCTCTTCTAAAGCTTGCATATCTCCAGAAAATTACTAGTTTTTAAGAACACAATATCATCCTGCATTTTGGAAGTCATCAAATCATCCTGAATACTGATCATGCTTTTTGGGAATCTGAAGAATAAAATACAAAAACTTAATATTGGATAAATAAAGTCTCTTCTCAATGATAAGTTCTCTCGGAAGTAGAATGTTCAAATTTCTCATCAGATTGTTTTGATTTTATTTCTCTTCCTGGAAAGGCAAAATATTAAACCAATTTTACACTTAGGTGCTGCCTTTTGTAGCAATTTTACAGAGCTACTATAAAGTTTTATAAGCAGTTCCATTCTAAAACCAGACTTCCAAGTGGCTTAGACTGGCCATTTTAAAAGAAGGAAAAAAATAAACAAGTACTTGAGTTGAAATTGGTCATAAGCTTGGGTTATGAGTATTTAGCTGAAGAGGGGTAAGGCAGCAGAATTGACTGCTGCCCTGTGACTCTGGTCTATCTGACAAATGTTCATCTCATATGCTGCTGCTTCTTTCTGAAACTGCGCTTCAGTGAAACATTAAACTGAAGCATCAGCATGAGTTGCATTAGGTAAAGGGATATTCAACAGCAAAGTGGACTTTGAGGGAGAAAAATATTTACTTATGCTGTTAACTTTTTTTTTATCCACTTCTGAAAATTAGTTCTCAATGATCCCAATAATAAAAAAAAAGTTATTCCTATTAGGAAACTAGATACTGAGCACATCGGAAATGTTAAATTTGTTATGTCCATGTTATAGTAGCCTCATAATGGGCCACACTAAGTATTAACCCAGTACAAATAATGGCATTATAGTGTGATTGTTCCAAAGGACCCACGTTCTGTGTTCTTAACATACCTTCCTTAAACACACACACACAATAACTGGGTAATATGAGAAATTAAATGAAAAAAATATAATTAATTTAAATGTTGACAGTGACAAGCAAGGAAATTGGAGCTGAATGGTATTAGTTTCTCTGCTCATCTACAGATGACCTCAGCACTGTTAGCCATGTACACTGCAATGTGCAGGAGGTCTAGTTAAGTATAGATACTAGAGGTTATAAACTTTTCAATTTTGGAATACACTATTTCAGGGCAATGTTAAGCAGATAATCACTTTACCTACAAGCAAGGTTTGTTGTTAATCTTGCATTATATAAACAATGATTCACTGAATCTGCAGCTCCTCCAGATTAAAAAGCAAATTCCTGAAGAGTGAGGGGTGTAGTGCAGTTAGCTTATACAACTGAAGACTGAGTCACAGTATTTCAAGAGCCTGGCACAGTACTGTTCGTCTGCACACATTTGAATGGAATGAAGAGACATGTTCACATCTTCTCTGACCATTGGTTTCAAATACTAGTGAGTTAGAGACAATCAGTTACTAGAGCAGGCCGTCTGGCATGAGGGATTTGGGTTATATTGATATTTATCGGTTACTATGACTTCTTTTTTTTCCCCCCTCAATTGCATCAAACCCTTAAAAAAATGGTGGTAAGTGAGAGATCTGCATGCTTTGGAGTTTGTTAATCTCCGCTTCAGTCTATACGATGCACAGTTCATAATGTTAACACTTTTCTTAAAGTTTCTTCATTCACGTTCACAACTAATTTGGATTTCAGTTTGCTGTTTTTAAACTTTATTTACTCTTAATTTTGTACTTATTTTTCTGTAGTTCTGTCCCCACCCTGATTTTTTCATTAGGGTTCTGGACCTTTGTCTGTACTGTATTGTACTGTACTGGGGAAGATTTTGTAGCAGTTAAATGGCTGACCAACAAGCTAGTGACATACAAAGGCATTTTCTTTAATTTGTTTTATATTGAACCTATAGAATCTAGATGGGTGATGGGAGGAAGCTATCAGTCTCCAAGTTTATGCTTAACTGTGACTATTCTTACAGGCACAGCTCCTATAGTTAATTAGATCTTTGCTAAGACAACACCCACTGGTAGCCTTTGTAAATCAGAAAAATGTTAGTCTAACACAACTATTCATCTGGAATCTGCATCCATGCTACATTTATTTTAGTTAAGATCACAGAATGGTTACCATAACAAGAGATGGCTTGCATCCCATTAGTATAGTTTTATTTTCTGAAGTCTAGCAAAACTCCCAGAGATGTTCATTATATAGTAGTATATATTATAGAAGGCTGAGATGACAAAGTCTTGAAGTAAAATGCTTTCACATGGCATTACTAACCATATTAATCCTTAAAAAAAACAAAAAACAAACCTAAGGACTCACTGATGTCTGTCCGATTCTATTAAAAGGCTCCCAAATAGTGTGTAGTTTATAGTTTGTAGAGTATGTAGCATCGTATGTTTTGAAATCTTTTAGGAATCAAAGATGTTTGCAGAGGCAGGACTTAGGTTTACTCTACCGTGCTTTGTGTTTCAGTTCCTGGATGTGTCTCTGTATATCTCCACTGTATATACAGCACATTGATGTCTGGTTGTCCTTACTAGTCCTAGTTTTCTCTGTACCTTGTCTTGATATAGTGTATTGTTGCTAGTGATGGACTTCCGTGGACACTGGTGTGTCGCTAGTGTGTTACTTTGGCTGTAAAGCTGTTGGTTTGTGGTTAGTTCTTTATTTTTTTGAAATATTTTTTTGTTCCGGTCACTGTTTGTGCTGGCAGTGGCTTTGCCTATCCGTTGCCTTGAAGGTACAGGTGGAGTAATGTCCTATTTTTTGACAGACATTACTCCTAGTGTGTGCTCATGCAGATGCCTACACTGTTAAGACTGTAACTTCCATAACTGCTTCATGTGCACTAAGCCCCCTTGTGGAATCCTGCTGAGAGTTTCTTAAAGGTGTCAGTGAAAAAAATCATTAAACCTTAAAAAAAAAAAAAAAAGTTAGAGATGCTTAAACCAATGGATTAGCAATTGCTCCCCAACAGTAGTTCTACAAGGAGCACTAACACAACTTTGTGGATTAATTTTTATGACACTAGGTACCCAATTACTACTCTCTACAGTGCAGCCTGAGGGTAAAATAAGGCATTTATAAATCCTAAAGAATAAAATGTTCATGAAAGCATATGTTGAAACATCACAAATTATTGGATTTTTTCAATTTCTAAATGATATAACTTTTTTCTGGTGTTTTTGCGAAGAGACACAGGCAGATCAGTGCTATCAGTCTATTTGTAGCTGAAGCCTGTGGTCTCTAGGGAAGTTGCAACACCATTTAACTTTTCCTGGTGGTTTATGAGAGTCTTATCCTAATACACACATGCACAGTGCTTGCTGCTATGCAAGGGACTGCACTTGTTTACAATGTCACGTTAAAATATTGCAGCTTCCACCTCCCCCAAAACTGGTTCAACGTGATTAGATATCTGGAAAAATGGAATATGAAATGGGTTGTATAATCCTTGGGGGGAAAAGAGATGGTATATACCTTTTGCGTATATACTGCTACTTGCCCATCAAGAGTTGATGAATGTGTATTTTAAAAAAAAAGTTAATGCAAGAAAACAAACAGCAGGATTTTACAACTGAAATGTTGGTTTGTCTTCTCATCTAATTTATAAGATTGAACCACTGGAACTTGGGGACAAGATGAGTATGACCATGTTGCAACATTCTGTCCGCTACAGTTGCAGTTCTTCATGACGAGCATTCAAAGTGTTAACTCAAACCATTGAAACAACATACTTGCCATTAAAACTTGAATCCAGAAAAATAACTTCATGAACCTTTGCACTACCAAGTGGAATGGCCTTTAACGCATAGATAGATCAATTTGCTGTTCACTGTCCAGCTAGGGTTTAATACAGAACCTGACTCCACTCTCTTTCCTTCCTTTGTCTTTCATTGAATCACAATGGAACTCTTGCTGCAGACGACGAACCAGCTGGGCCAATGTAAGTACTTTTATCTGAATTTATAAAGATAGTTTTATCTAGTTCAGTCACTATTACTGAATTTGTAGCTTAAAATTGCTTAGTGGAAGAGCTTGGTGGCTTACAGGATTTTGTAGTGCATGAAACCTAGGGCACATCTTCACTACCCGCCGGATCGGCGGGTAGCAGTCGATCTATTGGGGATCGACTTATCGCATCTAGTGAAGACGCGATAAAATCAATCCCCGATGGCTCTACCGTTGACTCCGGAAATCCACCGCGGCAAGAGGCAGAAGCGGAGTCGATGGTGGCGCGGCAGCGGTCGACTCGTCGCCGTCCTCGCAGCCAGGTAAGTCGACCTAAAATACGCAACTTCAGCTACGCTATTCGCGTAGCTGAAGTTGCGTATCTTAGGTCGACCGCCGCCCGTAGCGTAGACCTAGCCCTAGATTTAGGCTTGATAGCAATTACTATTTGTATTGTAGCACTCGGTTTCTAATGGGGATTGGAGTATTGTGCTAGATGGTATTAAGCAAATAAGAAAATACTTTCTGCCCCAAAGAGCCTGTGGGTTAAGGCCACCTACTTTGGTTTTCCTTCCCAGGCCAGGAAGAGCAATACAAATTCAGATGGATGTGAGAGGTATGAAGGGCTTAGTCACAGAGCTGGACAAATATAGCAAAAATATTTGCAAATATCCTTACTAATAAAACCTGCTGATTTTCACTGGTATTTGTGCCCCCAAACCTTTTTACTTGCTTATTCTTGACCATTTGGGTGAAGGAGATTATATTTGCAAGAACTTTCCTGCAAAAGCAAGTGTTGTGAAAATCAGTGGAAGCAAATATTGACAAGATTATTCAAGACAGAAGAGCTCTCCTGGCCCTTACCTTGAATGACTTAGAGAGACATGGTGGGTGAGGTAATGTGAGCTGAGGGGTGAAAACATTATCTTTTATTAGACCAACTTCTGTTGGTGAGAAACAAGCTTGTGCGCTCTGTGTAAGCTCGAAAGCTTGTCTCACCAACAGAAGCTGGTCCAATAAAAGATATTAACTCACCCACTTTGTCTCTGTAATATCCCGGGACTAGCATGGCTACAACACTGCATATTGTGAGTGACTTGTTTCTTAACCATGCTGTTGTTATGTTTCCACCAATTTTGATGCGACTTTTTTCCCCTCTAAAGGAAAAGCAATTCTACAAACAATCACAAAGATAAAAACTTACGCCAGAGAAACACAAATTAAAAAATAATGCGTATAATGTAAGTATGACTTTTTAGATGTTTAAGAAATATTCTTACTATTTAAGCATTTCTGTTCTTTCATTAAGGTGAACTAAAAATGTAAGGAATAATCAAAAAATAATACTGATCGAACAAGCCATGTGTAGGTATTTCAGTGACTTGCAAAGTTATTTGAAACTGTTCTGAATAAAGCATCATTTCTATTGAACTCTTCCATACACTACTTGTGTAGTGTATCTTTTTCAGGATTTTTATAAAAGATCCCTGCCATAATAGCCTAGGCTCAATATCTAGTGCATATTCACACAACTCTAGTCAATTTCTAACATGATTCTTACCTGTGCAACACTGACGGCTTCAGCAGCAAAGGAAGCGCGCACACACACACTCACTCTCACTCTCTCTTTTATACCATAAAAGTAAATTTCCTTGCTAGGTGTGGCGGTTCCAGGATATGGTATGAAACTGATGTTTTTAGGTTGAAACAATAGGCAAGCCTTTATCTTAATAGCAAATCTGACAGCAGTTTTATTATGTGCATTATGGCATACTGTAATCAGGGTGGCATTAATCATTGACTAATATCTTTGTTCTCAATTCTTTTTTTTCCATAGAGCTTTAAGTTTCTGAGAGACTGATGGCAATATAACCTGCTAAAATAATGGTTGGAACTCTTGGTTCTAGAACTCCAGTTCTATTTGATTTTTCCTTTCAAGTGAGCAACAATATGACTGTCTAAAAAAGCATGCCTTATTTAGCCTGTCCTGTAAGGATGACATACCCAGACACATTTTAACAATGCTTCAGTGTAGAAGGTGTAAACTATTTTGGGCTTGATGTGCTGTGAATGTTGCTTTTTTCCCTTAAGGTATTTAAACATTAGAAGTAAAGTCAAAACATGCATGCGCCATTTTTTACTTTCTTAATGTAGCTGTTAAATTGGCAAAGCTCTAAAATGCACTGCTGCCATCTAGTGATAACTTTTTGTAAAGTACAGCAAAACCTAAAAATATATACAATATATATTTATATTTTTTGGGAAGAGGAAAACCAAAATACAATAAGTGTTTCATTTTTAAGCTGCTGATATTCATTCCTTATATTGTATGTTTGAGAGATGAGAGAATTATACTGTTCTGGTACTTAAAGAGGAGTAATATAAATTGAAATTATTTTAAGGGCTTAACCTATATAGAAAGATTTGGGTGTCCTATAATCAGACTTTAAAAGCTGGAACAGTCCAACAAAGGGTGATGAATTGTAGTACAAACTTCAGTTTATATATATATATATATGAGATTGCTTTTTAAGTGTATTTTTTTGTTTTGTTTTGTTAAGTCATGTAAATTCTCAAATCCTTTTGCACTGATGTGTTCAACATATTCTTGTACATTCAATTCAGGCAACTTTTATAATTTACTTTTTTTGTTTTAAATGATGTTGAAATGTTACAGCATGGTGATATTCTATGCAACTAGTAATACTCTTCAGTTTGACACTGTAATTTCTCATGTTCATTTAAAGATTGATTGTAGAATTACAGACCTAACAGGGTTCTCATGCCGTGCATAACTGTAGATGCATGAACTTGTGTTCTGTGTATTTGTTGAAGTGCAATGATGTATAAAAAGTGGATTCACCTGTTTTTAAAAATAAAACACTGACCAAAAAAACCCCAGACTTTCTCAAATTTGTATCCACTCTACTTGTTATTACCTGAAATACTGTATTAACATTTCCTCAACCTTCTGTCAGTTTTTTCAACTCCGTCTCAACTTCTTCCACAAATGCTGGGAAGTTCTGATCCATGAGACATAGGCGAATAAAAGGCCCTAATTCTTCAGCATGCCACACGGAATGCTTATATGCAAGGGGGAGCTCAAATGTTGATGATTTCAGCACAGACTGCAAAAGCAAAGGCAATGGTAGTTTTCAGCACAGACTACAAAAACAAAGGCAAAGGTGATTTTATTTAAGGTGCATTTCATCGTCAGTGCAATTGAGTATGTTTTTGAAAGTAGCATTCATGGCATTCGTGGGTTCACAGAAATGCTTGTTTTACTACACATGCACACTAAAAATCTACATGGCACCTGTTCATTACAAGTATGACAGTCCAACTAGGTCAGATCTTCCTTGTATGTTAATTGCTAACATGTTAAAAAAGACAAATCTACAGTTTTTGCTTGCTATGGTCTAACATCTAAATACTAGGCTGTTTCAGATGTAGTCACCGTTTTAAAATATTTTCCAAACAATAGCATTTATTTGACCTTTGCACACAAGAAAAGGTATCTGCACCCTTTTCCTTCATGGAAAGTCTTTCTCTGACCTCTTTCCAATCTCTTTCCCTAAGTCAGGAACTCAAAAATTAGGAAATGCCAGTTTTACAGTTGCAACCTTATTTCCACCACCGTATGTCCATCCTGTACATTGAATGAGGCAAGGATTCTATTCTTATCTGTTGCAGAGCTTGCCAGGCCAATTTGCGGCAGCCTCATCAGCAAAGTGCACAGCCTTCAGACCACTATCAAATCTGGTCAGAGGGTAGTCATCAGTGAGGTGTGACATTGTGTGTCTTTGGCCCTAGTTGCATGTGGGGAGCCTCACACTAGCCCTAACTGTGAAGGCTGGCTGCACGTTGACCCTGGCTCCTTTGAAATCGATTCAGAAGTGCCTGTGAGCAGCGTAGTCAGGTCCATTATAAGAGACTGGTTTCTGATATCCGTTGCAGACCATTCTACATCGATGTTGCAGAAAAATCGGGGCAGGGCAAATGGGCCCACAAACAGGTGCCTCCATGACTAGTGCACACCTGGATGGTCAAAGAGGTTGGTGTATACTAGTAGGCTCAGGTTTGCCCTGATCTTCTCAATCATTCTGGCTGCAGCATCCTCACAACAGATATCTGGGAGTGATGTTGCTTAACACAGGGAGCCACAGTACTGATGTGGGTAGAATCGTCCCAGTTATGATGCGCAGGGTTGAGTGTAGTTGTGTGTCAGCCAATGTGAGATGAATGGAGCCAGAGTGGAGCACAGCATTCTGCTGCAGAGTGACAGAGGGCTAATATGGATGATCAGAGTTTAAGTGTTTGCTCCCTATAAAGTGCCAGCCAATTTGCTTAGAAGGCTGTTATGCATCCTCACCTTAGCAGCAGTTTTCCTTAGAGGGTAAGATATGTGAGACATCTATCTAGGTTTACTTTGAGGTTGAGTGAGTGGGATTCATGTTTCAAGTGATGTTCACTGAGAAAGATATTTAGTTCCTGGCCTGCTCTGGTGGTGTAAACATGGAATACACTCAAAACTGTTTTAGTCACACTGGGCTGTAAATGCCACTGACTACAATATTGTCCATCTTAAGTCAGCATTTAGGACATCTTAGAGTTCTGGGAATGACCTTGCTTGGATGCCTAAGCAAATGCTGTCATCTGCATACAGGAGCACGCAGTACTGGGTGAGTGGAATGCCATTCGTGTACAGGTTGAAAAGCATTGGTGCCAGCACAGAGCCTTAAGGTAGGACCGTTGGTTTGTCTTTTCCATGTGGTAACTCTGTCTCCCATGTGCATTTGGAAACATCTGTTGCAGAAGAGGTACCCCTTTCAGGAGTCTGATTTGTCTTGCATACCCCCAAGTTACATCTCACTTAAAAACTACTTGCTTACAAAATCAGGCATAAAAACACAAAAGTGTCACAGCACACTGACTGAAAAAATTGTTTACCTCCTCATTTTTACCATATAAATATTGTACAGTGTATGGTATATAGAGCAGTATAAACAAGTCATTGTCTGTATAAAATTTTAGTTTGTACTGACTTCGCTATTGCTTTTTATGTAGCCTGTTGTAAAACTAGGCAAATATCTAGATGCACTGATGTACCCCTTGGAAAACCGCTGTATACCCCAAGGGGAACGTATACTCCTGGTTGATAACCACTGTGCCAGACCATGTCATATACTGCTGTCAGGTCCAGAAATATAGCTCCCGTCTCCAGGTTTTTCTGAAAATCGTTTTTGATAAATAAAAGCAGCAAAGAGTCCTGTGCTGCTTTTGCAGATCCAGACTAACATGGCTACCCCTTTGATTTTTGATTAATGTTTTCAAAGCTAGCACTTGATCACAGGTACTCCAAACTCTCAGAAAACTTGCTTGCTTGACACAGAGTATTGACTCCACTAGGAGTCTATGCATTCCAGATTCTATGGGGAAAAAAAGTCTAATTACATGATTCTGTACTATCAGTGCATGTGTACAAGGGTGTAAGATGAAGGCTGCCTGGCAAGCCATAAATCTGGCATTTCCTTGACTCTGCAGCCTAAATATCATCTCAACAGCTTTTTTTGTTTGTTTGTTTTTTTAAGGTAACTTTTCTTTTAAAAAAGCCTTGCACAAGTTACAACAGTAATAATGCCAAACAAAAAAAATATATATTACATCAATAGGATTTGAACTACACAGCTGGCAGCAGAAGGCAGCTGCTATTCCTGGAAGGGTCCAGAGGGGAAATAATCAGCAACTGGCACTTAGGGTGACCAGACAGCAAGTTTGAAAAATCGGGACGGGGCAGGGGGTAATAGGAGCCTATATTAGAAAAAGACCCCAAACTCGGGACTGTCCCTATAAAATCGGGACATCTGGACACCCTACTGGCACTACATGCTGCATTGGAGGGCATGGGCCCACCTTCCTCCAGCAGGAGATAGGGGCTCCTGTCCCATGTGGTGATGGGGAGAGTGGGGCCATGTGTCAGGTCTAGGGAGGGGTATGGAGGAGGCAGCTCCCAGGATTCCCTGTGCTGTTACTATTTTGGCAGTGGTGTGACCCCAGCTGTTTTAAAACGTTCATGTTCAATTATTTTGGGATGCTGCCAAAACTTCCTGAGGAACACAAGCCACTGTGGGGGAAATGGCAACTTGAACATTTACATCTCAATCAAATGGGAACAGATTTTCTTGGGGCAAAGAAAAGACACTTCTGTCCCTGGAGCTTTCTAAACTGCAAGTGCCTGGTGGAAACAATACAGGTGCTAGAGCTTTTCAAGCATCTTTTATAATGGATAATATGCAACCTAAATACCAGGGTCACTGCCAGCATCCTCTCTAATGAAGGAAGGATAGGCAGGGGAAAAAGGGGGGTTGTGTTGTATTATTTATACACCAGGAATGTATACGCTTCTTCTGAGTTCCAGATGGTGGTAAGAGGCAGACCACTTGAAAGTCTGTGTGTGAAGATAAAAGCGTGGAAGTTGGTAGATGAGGCATTTCTAGAACAAATACAGAAATAGCCAAAACCCAAAAGCTGCTAGCCAAGGGGAATTTTACCCCAATAGCTGTTTGCCAGTAATATTGCAAAACACAAAATGACCAGTAAGTTCTTGGAATGTACTGTGGATAACTAGGTTTCAGAAGGTGAGGGAGGAAGCCATTTTATACTTGATTGTGACTAATGGGGAAATTGGTTGAAAATCTTAAGGTAGGAGGCAACTTGGGTGAAAGTGATCATGAAATGATATAATAATATAATCTAAGAAATGAAGGTGAGAAGACAGAAAAATAAAAAGACAGGCTTCAAAAAAACAGACTTGAATAAACTCAGAACTGGTAGGTAAGGTCCCATAGGAAGAAAATCTAAAGAGAAAAAGGAGTTCGGGAGAGCTGGTAGTTTCCCAAAGAGATATTAAAAGCACAATAGCAATCTATCCTGATGCAAAGAATAATAAGAGGCCTGTATGACTCCATCAGGAGCTCTTTAATAACACTGGTCTACAATTTTTGAGAAGTTGTCTGCTTCAGAGATAAAATGTGCTATTTATTATGTATTTTGATGTGCTGAATTCAAATATGAAAATTAAAACAACTGGCTACTGTTTCTAAGATATTTAAGTTTTTACATTTTATGTCTATGTATATTGTGTAGATAGTAGAGTTTTAATCATAAATTGTAAACCTAGGTCTTTGCATGGTTGCTTTACATGATAATATTTCACCTGTCCTGTTTATGTAACACTTTAAAAATCAGCAAAAGGGTTATATAAATAAAATTTATTATGAAACAAAAGGCAAAAAACTATTATGTACATAGTTTAGTCCT